TTCGGGCGAGGTCGCGACCGAGGACAGAAACAACCCAACATGATGGCATTGCGGGAGGAGGACAGGGCTGCGCGGGGGGGAGCAAGCGGCAGGAGGGGAAGGAGGAAAAGGATCGGAAGCAGGAGGGGCTGGAGCAGGAGGACGTGGATGAGAGGCAGGAACAGGAGGATTACAGAGGATGACGGAGGAGGAGGAGGAGGAGGAGGAGGAGGAGGAGGAGGAGGAGGAGGAGGAGGAGGAGGAGGAGCAGGACTGTAGTGTAGTGCAGATGCCCTAAAGGGTAAGCGTAACCCTGTGCTCTTTTTCTGGAGCGTAGCTGCTGATGTCGGGGATCGGCCTGGGGAATGCGACGAGCCCCCCAGCGGCTGCAGACCTCCCGCCGCCGCGAAGGCCCCTCCGACAGGCAACCGTCTGCCCGTACAGAGGTGAACACCTCGGCGCTCCCCCTAGCTTCCCTGATTTTGCCAGGGTGGGAGCGGGCAAAAGGCCGAGCAAATCCAGCACCAATGGCTAGAGCCAAAATGGTGCCGGAGGCCGCACTCGGCTTGGAAGGGCGTGCTGGCTCATCCGTTATTATATGTTCGGGTGTGGACCTATCCTAAAATACTTTAGAATAGGTCAGTGCCCCCCCTCCTTTGGGCGGGGGGTTGAGGCCATGCCGTGGCCAGCTCAGACGCCCATTCGAGACAAAGATGTAAACAAAGTTCCCCCCCCTCCTTCGAGCGGGGGGCTCAGGCTACGGATGGAGCAGTGACCGTAACGAGAGCCGACAGAGGCGAGTCAATAACTGCCAATCTCGCGCCTGTGCAAAAGGATAGATGAAATGAGGTTCCCCGATGATGCCGTGCCGTAGACACTGAGAAATGCGGCAGGGTCTCGAAGTGCTGCGCAGCAGGGTCGACAAAGCTATTACTGGACTCGAGTCTGCCAAATGTTGCGTCTACTGCGAGGGCCACGTTTAGAGAACATGTGGAGCGGAACTTGAGCTCAGACTTTCATGAGGGTGCCTGCTCGGATCGAATCCCCTGAACAGGTGCCTGGGATTAGGCTCGACGCGTGCCCCGGGGTTCTGGCTCGGACTAAGCCCCCGAAGAAGGGCCCAGGGCATTTGCCGCCAGGGAGCAGCGGCAGCTGGAGGTGTAGCAGGGTGGTGGGAAGGGACGAAAGAGGAGGAAACAGAGAGGAAGGGAGAAGGCAGGGACGCCAGGGACTGGCGGAAGATGGAGGGGTGAAGGGAGATGAGGTGAGGCGTATGGGTGCGCAGGACTCCCAGCTGTCGCCGTGTGCGTCCTTGAGGCAACGGCCTCGCGACGGGGGCAGTCGTGCAACATCTAAAGATGCACGAATCCTGGTCTTGCCGCCGGGGAGCGGCGGAAAGAAGAAGGGGGAAGGAGGAGGGGGGGATGAGGAAGCGCGTAAGAGTGTGCAAGCTGACCTGCCTTTCCGCCGGGCGCGTCTTTGATGCACTTGCTTCGCGACAAGGGCCACCGTGCCGCCAGGGAGTGGCGGAGGATGGAAGGGGAGTGGAAGGATGGGCGGAATCGAAAAAGTGTGCAGGACTACTGGCCTTGCCGCCGGGTGCGTCCTTGAGGCGAATGCCTCGTGACAGCGGCGTGCGTGCAGAATCTGACGATGCACGCAACCCGGTCTTGCTGCCAGGGAGCGTCGGATGTCGGTCGAGCCTGGCGCCAGCTCGGCGCAGTGGCAAAATTTCCAGGCAGGAGCTGCGCAACTTCACAAACTCGCTGGGGAAAATATGGGAAGGGGGGGAGGGGGGGAGTGAGAGGGGCACGAGAGAGTGTGCAGGACTACCGGCCTTGCCGCCGGGTGCGTCCTTGAGGCAACAGCCTCGCGACAAGGGCCAGCGTGCAGGATCTGAGGATGCACGTGGCCCGGTCTTGCCGCCAGGGGGTGGCAGAAGATGGAGGGAGGAGAGGGGATGAAGGGGACGCGTATGGGTGTGCAGGACTACCGGCCTTGCCGCCGGTTACGTCCTTGAGGCAATTGCCTCGCGACTGAGGTAAAGTGCCGACTCTAAAGATTCACTCAAACTGGCCTTGCCGCCAGGTAACGGCGGAAGAGGGAGGGGGGAGAGAAAAATGAGGGGATGCGCGAAAATGTGCAGGACTACCGACCCTGCCGCCGGGTGCGTCCTGAAGGCAACTGCCTCGCGACGAGGGCAATCGTGCAGGATCTGAGGATGCGCGAAACCCCATCATTGAACACCTGCGTTTGCTTGCGCCCAGGTTTTTCCGCCCGGATGCGGCCAACAAGCAGTGATCAGCACGGGAAAATGAAAGCCTGCAGAAACGCAGGCTTTGCCGCCTAGCTATGTTCTTGAGGAAACTGCCTCGCGACGATGGTATGAATGGGCAACTGGTGGATGCACGCATCCCAGTCTCCCCGCCAGTCTGCACCCAGAAAGTAGCCTTCAACCCAAAAGGGCGGGATCTTGCAGGACCGCTGGCTTTGCCGCCAAGCTTTGTCCTTGAGGCAACCGCCGCGCGACGATGGCATGAATGGGCAACTGGTGGATGCGCGCATCCCAGTTTCCGCGCAAGGCTACAGCCAGAAGATAACGATCAGCCCAAGAGTGTGAGAGCTTGCAGGACCGCTGGCTTTGCCGCCAAGCTTTGTCCTTGAGGCAGCTGCCTCGCGACGATGGCATGAATGGGCAACCAGTGAACGCACGCGCCCCAGTCATCCCGCCTAGCTCTGTCCTTGAGGCAGCTGCCTCGCGACCAACCCAGAAAAGTATCAGCATGCCGGGACGCTGGTTTTGTCGGCAAATTTTTATCCGGAACTGAGCAGTCCTCGGCAATTGGCGGCTCCGCGGTGAAGCACCTAGAGGGAGAACCCTCGAATGAAGACCTCGAGGCGGACACCTCAAACTCGAAACTGCCGTCTAAGCGGGATCGCGAGGTGGGTGCGTCCATGTTCCGACCACCAATGCGAGCTCCATGTTGCGCGACCTGTGGGTACCCATCGAGGTAGTTGACTCGAAACGAAGATACTATTCGACGGTCGAACGCGTGCGCAAGAGCCCCCGGGCGGGGGCTGGGCACCCATCGGAACGTCGGACCGAATGAAAGCTTCACCGAGGGCTCCCCCGAGTGCATCCTGCCAAAGGTGGCCCAGAATACGAGCCACGGGCCTAAGTATCAGTGTTGAGCCACATAGCGGCACTGAGGAGGGGGGAGGGAGTAAGGATGAGGTTGGGGAGCTCATCCTCGTCCTCCTCGCTCCTGGGCGCGGTTATCTTCATTGGGCACCTTTCTGGTGCCTTTGCCCGCAGGGTGTGATGCGCCACAGAGCCGCCAGCCACAATGAACCCGCCAGCATTCCACTGCTCTTTCCGTGTTCCTGCGCGTTGGGCGCACGAAACGTGTGCATCCTCCGAATCCTCCGAGGTCGAGGGGAGGAAGGAGAAGAGAGGAGAAGCTTTGGAGGTTAAGGCTGACGCGGCGCGTGCAAGCGCGGGCCGTGAGACCCGCGCAGCACGAGAGGGTGGCATCGCCATAACGGCTTGGCGTCTAGGGGCTCCCCTTTTCAGCCCGTGGCGTGAGCCTGATGCAACCATGCCTGCGCGCCGCGCAGCAGCCTGCGACGCGCGCAGCGCCGGGCCGTGTCCTGGAGACGCGTGCCTCGTAAAGAGGCATGTAGGACTACCGGCGTTGCCGCCGGGCTGTGTCCTGGAGGTCAGAACCTCCGACGTGCCGGATTGAAGCAATGGCCGGCAATATCGCTGGTCTGTGACCTGGGAGCACGCGCCTCGGAAGGGTAAGTGCAGGACTGCTGGCATCGCCGCTGGGCTGTGTCCTGGAGGGCAAAACCTCCGACGTGAGGATAGCTCCGCCAGCGTTATCACTGGGCCATGTCCTGGAGGCACGTGCCTCGCGCAAGGAAATGAACATACGCAGGACCGCCGGCATTGCCGCCAGGCTGTGTCCGAGAGAGCAAATCTACCGACGTGTCGATTGACAAGAACAGCGCTGGCATTGTCGCCGCGCTGTGTCCAGGAGGCGCGTGCTTCGTAAGGAAGGCGTGTGGGACCGCCGGCATTGCCGCCGGGCTGTCCTGGAGGTCAAAACCTCCGACCTTCTCTTTGGGACCAAAATGGCGGCGCCGACAGTCAGCTGGTGTTGACCTCTCTCAGGAGGGCCCTGCCGAGCCTGTCAAACTGGCGAAATCCGACCATGTCGAGGGCTGCCGTGCTCGCAACGGCACTGGGGCCGTCAAGCGGTCGCCGAAACGGGCCCCCCAAAGAAAAACAGGTGGGGTGCCAGCTGGAGCTAGCTGGATGTGGCCACCTGCATGCCCGAACATTACCGGTCTGGTAATAGACATCGGTCGTAACACGACCTCCCTGGGGAGAGCCGTGCTTGGCCGGCAGGTGGGGCCATTAGATCTCACGTCACTGTCGCCCAGGTACGCGGGGAGGGCCTTAGATGCCCTAGAGGAGAAATGGGACCGCGCTTCACCAGATTGTCCCAATTTGAACACAGTTGCCACAAGGAAAACACCTCGAGGTAGGTGAAAAAACCCGAGGTGGAAACCTCGAAGTGAAGACCTCGACGTGAAGACCTCGACGGGAATGTAATGAGGTGAAGATCTCGAAGTGAACGACCTCTAAGTGTAGCCCTCGAGGTAGTGACCCGGAGTGAAGCCACTGAGGCGGAGACCTCGAGGTGCGCAGGACCTCCAGCCATGCCGCCAGAGTCTGTCGTCCTTGAAGTACGGAAACTAACTCTTGTGCCGGTGTCGCCCCGGCTTCCTAACCCCAGGGGACGTTGTGCAGGTGCTCGTCGGGTACCGGCGCCCCATGCGTCCTGCACAACGACCGTCCCCAGGGGCTGCGGAAGCCATCGGCATGGGGAGGAGGAGGAGGAGGAGGAGGAGGAGGGCCAGGATGATTACGGAGGAAGACGAAGGAGGAGGAGGAGGAGGAGGAGGAGGAGGAGGAGGAGGAGGAGGAGGAGGACGAGGAGGCACGCGGGAGCCTGAGCCCCCTCGCCGCCGCTGTCGTCGCTCAGGAGCTCGCTCCTGGTCACGACGTGGGGCTGGCTGCCCGCCATGTTCCGCCGCAGAGGCTGAGTCACTGTGGAGCCGAGC